ATATATATATATATATATGTATATATACATATATATATATATATATATGTTTTACGAACTAGAAATCCGAATATACTTTTGGTCCACAAAGCTGTCATTTTCTGTTTCCTTTGGGCCATATGTGTAAGTGTGATAGGCTCACTGTTCAAAAAAGGTGGGTGGAGGGCTGAACTGAGACCATAAAGAAGTGATTGGTTATACACTTGTGAAGGAGTTGGTGTCATGTAAGTGAATTACAGGGTGAATCTTTAACTGTATTGTTTCCAAAAGCTTGATAATGACTTTTAGCTCATTGTTTATTCATCTAAATGATAACATCAATGGATCTTTACATGCACAGTTAAGTTGTACTATAGTCCCACGTATAGCACCACAGAGCTGTTAACGCAGACACAAGATGAGAATCTTATTTACCAGCATATGTATTTACAATATTATTTTTAACACTGTTTTAACACTGCTTTTAGTATAAAGTGCGGTGTGAAAGTATATTAGTCCGCGCCAAATGTACATGTATGGTTTTAACGCCATCCGTCGGAATGATGGAACAAGACTTCCTTAATAAACGTGTAAGAGATGGCGATATAACCACGAAATGCCGTAGGTCAAGGACGTCATAAACCAAGGACCTGTGTGTGTTTTGTGTGATCAGCACAGCATAATAGTTTTTATGGCTTTGCATCCCAAGGTGGATGAGTTAATGCTCATTGGGTAAGGAGGGAGTGCGGAGCACTTTGTAGTGTGAACGCAAACGTGGAGCAAGACTAGTTTCGCTGTGTGGCAAATACCGTATTAAGCACCAGTGTGAAAATGGTATATGATGGAGTGATGCTTTGACTGGTCGTTACTGAGGTGTGGATCTTGCCATCCTCTGGGAGATGATCTCCCTGTGTCCCCTCAGTCAGTGCACCATAGTAGGGAATGAGGATAGATGGCCCTCTCTGTAAAAGGTGACCATCACAGCCTGCCTTTTCATGGTTCAGCCTCTATTATCTGTCTCTGAGGCTGTGCAGTTATGTTTCATGTTTGATGGAACAACAACTGTGTCACTCTCTTTAACTAAGATCTGTATTTTCTTCTCGTCGTGTTGTCTGCAGGCTGGCTAAAGAGAAGACTTCCTATATAAAGGAAGCCAAGCAGCTAGAGGAGAAGATTGAGCGCCTGAAAACAGAAGCAGGAGATGAGTACTTCATCAAGAAACAGGTACCTGGACTAGTTTTACTTTTTGTTTCTAAATATTAACCACACCAAAACAAAAAACAAAAAAACTTTTTATTTATCACCACCTACTATTTCCCTGGACCTTTGTCTGTACACTGAAGCCACAGTACCTCAGTGACTGTAGCCGCTCCTCCTGGTGTAATGAGGTCAGTCTGGAGTGATTATGACGGATTATGTTTTGAGAGAATAATCATTAGTGATTTACTAATTTGCTTGATGCAGTTGTAATTATATCATGTTACTTGAGAGGAGTTTGGTAATTACTGACACATGCTGGTCATTTATTGTCCTGAACAGATCACTGGCTCATACCTTGCTGTCCGTCCTCTCCCAATTTGTCTGCAGCGGCGCTCATTTTTATGTGCACTGCATATTACAGGGAAGGGCATGCAAATTTGGATAGCCACTCATATTAGGGAACACATATTACCCATTACCAACTGCTAGCATTCAATTAGTGACATATCCGTCCTTAATTCTTCAATAAAAAGCACTTATAACACCTCATTTTTCGATGCCATATTTATAAAGGGACAATGTGCAGAAAATTGTTGTTGATAAAATGTATGTCTACTAGGTTATTAATTAGTGGTGTTATCTTTTTTAGACTTGTGTTGTTATTGCTGGCTAACACTTGGTCACTTGTTGAAATGTTTTAAACATGTTTTAAATTCTCTTGTTTTTCCCCCTTGTATTAAAATTAAAACATTAATGTAGGAAATATGTATGTAGAAAACGGGTGTTTGCTGTTGTCAAATGTAATTCTACATGTTAAAAAAACCATGTTTATATTAGTAGGTGGGTGTTTTTTTCAACGCATGGCGATTGTCTCCTGAACCATTATAAATATATATAGAAAACAGCAACACTCTCTGCTGAGCCAATCAAGTGCTGAGATGTCATAGACACATGACAGTCGTCCCCTGGTTGTGTATGTTCCTCAGCCAGTTGCCTAACAAAACATAACAGGTGAAACCAAAGTGTGTCACTTTATAGGTTCAGTCAACAGTGGGTCACTTATTGGTACAGTGGTTCGCACAGATGCCTCACAGTTACCTGTTAGGGCAATGTCCTGGCTTAGTAACCGTCCTGTTTACAGTGTGCACTGTCTTTACAGGTTTTTCCTGTGTTAATCTAATTTTCTCTCAATGTCCAAAAACATGCAGTATGGGAATGAGGTTTTGTGACACTCCAAAATGATTTTAGGTTTGAATGTCAGTGTGCTGATGTTTTCATGACCTTGTGACTCTGTGTCATTTTATCTTTGCTGGTCTGTTATTATGCACCAACAAACCAAGGAAAATTGAATATTTAATGTTAAATTAGTATTAAAATATACGTGTGGATGAAGCCTAGCAGTCTAGTTTGATGTAGTCCTTGTGTGCATGCTGTGTGTGTCCCTTAAGTAAATATCTCTTCTTAACCTATAAGACAGGTGGCAGAAATAGACAGAGGTGAGGGTTAGAATTAAAGAATGAACCCAACCCAAGAAGTGATGGTTGCAGAGTGAGGGCTTTTTGTCCACAATCCACTTCTCATCATAAGCACTATGTCCCAAAAAGTTTGGATTTCAGATGGACGTTTTCAGGCAGCAGTGTCGGCACAGATGCCACATCTGATTATGTCTACTGCTCACATTAAAATTCTGCCCGTGTTTTGTTTTGTTTGCTCATTCATAGAGCAGCCGCTCAGGCTTAGCAGCAGGCTTGGCTGGTGTTAAACAGGGGGTTTGGGAGGCCAGATGGATTATGGCTGGAGATGAGAGGTCTGATGCAGGATGGATTAGAGGTTTTTGTTTTAATGGAATCAATACAGTGTAAGTGTCATCTTTATCCAGCGCTGATGGGATCATTCCACTGCAGCGGGAGGGCACCATGACTTTTCTCTGTATCTGCTCTCCTCAGCTTACTCTGGCTCGCCCTGTCACATCTACATGGCAACAGCTCCACTAGTTGTCCACTGCCTTTCAAGGTGTCGGCCCGCCTGGCAGCCTGCAGGAGTCCGTCTGAGCGCCTGTTGTTGTGCACGTGCGTGAAATGTACGTGTGTGACTGAGTCCATGTTTTGACTTTCCAGCTATACAGAGGAAGCATCTGTCATGAGCCAGTGTGTCTGACAGCGTTAGCCATCTCTTCTCTGCTCTTTAGGGTGCCATCGGGGGGAATTCCCCATTAGCCGTGGCTGTGAAAGTTCCCGAGGCTTTAACACAGTTCCACTCCAGGTGCAATAATACCTGTTTACGCCTGATCACGGTGCCCTCGGCTCACCGTTTCTTCATTCACTCAGGTGTGCAGTCAGATGGAGGTTGTCCCCCGCTGCCCAACTCCCCATCCAATCAATAACTCAATAACATTTTTCATACTGTCAGCTGTTTGGATGATGTTAACCACAGCGGAGCATAAGCGAGACACAGGAACAAGGCTACGACAGACAGCACCTGTTACTGAACTCTGGAAAACAAATGTTCGCTTAAAACTGGAATATAGCCGAACCAGTAATAAGTCATCACAGCAGTGTTGGCGAAGGATTTTTGTTAAATAAATGATTCTAATGGTGAAGACTTTCTCTTGTATGGTTTTAGATGGAGGTGTTGCAGGAGTCCAAAATGATGATCCCAGACTGTCACCGTCGGCTGGCCATCGCACACGCAGACCTGCTTCAGTTATTAGTAAGTAGCTGGGTCACAGGTTTGTGAATATTTTTATATTAACCATAAACTTTAAGGTAAGGTATAACTTTTTAAAAATGTTTATTTTTCGAGACTTCTTCAGTTCAAGCCGACTGCTTGACATTCTGCTGAACACCTGAATAAGGAGTAGTTACAGTAAAATAAAGGACGATGACATGTCTGTTTAGTGTATGAGGGTCGAGTTTTCTGGGTAGAGAAGTCAGGACGACGAGAGTTGACTGTGACGACAGTGAACCAACACAGACGTGTCAGTCGTGTGTGTGTGTGTACTTTTCTGTGTAATTTCATTTGTTCACTCCTTTAATTGACATTAAACCATTACCTCCTTCTGCCCTGCTCACACAAAGGCACGATATACTGTACGGACAGAGAGTGAACCTACAATTAGTGACCCGACCTCTTGTCAATCACCCATTGTCCTCTTCTCCACCCCCCCCCCCCCCCCCC